TTGGGATGGCCCCCCCTCGAAAGCCATTTTTTTTCGCATGGCCCCCCCCAAATCCCACCAGCCCCCCCTACCTTATAAAAAATGAACGGTCCCTAAATTCATTCTGGCCCCTACTCCAACAATCAAGACAGTTCCCGTTTACCCTTTCATCAATAAAACGTGAGACAGGAAAACCAAGTAAACGTTCGTATGAGCTATGTTGTATTGTTATCCCCTGCTATTTTCAAGTTATAATTTAACCTTGAACAGTTGCCAACGGAAGGAAGGAAGGTTTCCACAACAGTAAAGTGTAAATACCCGGGTAATATCACACAAAAAATACAGTAGATAATAATAATTACCAGAAAGACTCTTTGGCTCCTACAACGTCTCGAGAAGCCTTTTTGACGCACTTTGTGACGAAAAAGCAACCAAAACAATAGAGAATATTCACAGTTCTCACTTGCCGAAATCATTTCACACCTTTGTTGTCAGACGTCTTTTCTTTCCCGCCGAAAAACACTTTTAATAAACGGCTCTCTGATTGGCTATTCTGGTGCGTTCCTAACAAAACAATAATTTTAATTGGTTGTTTGTCATTTACCGTGTTGCTGTGGTAATCAATCCTTTGGACTGCGGTTTGTGCCTTGGTGCTAAAATACTGAACACAAAAGGAACGAAACCATGTTGTTTTGTTCCGCAATAATACCAAACGGGAAGGACAGCTGAACATTTCACCTCGACGAGATGCTTTCGAGGCAGAGTTCACGGCCTTATACCGTGGGAAGCTTTCGCATGAAACTTGCCTTGTTCGAGCAGTTTATCCAAGAGTTTACTTACGTCGACGAAGAACTCAATCCTGAGGAGAGACAACAGATTTTACAAGCTCGTTTGACAAACGGTAAGAGTATTGAGATTATCAGCATGTACTATCGTATATATCACTGATTAATTTTTTAGCGTGAGTTAATATAGCTAGCGGAATCGGAACGTCGAACGCACGTGGAAGCTGCGAACGAGAGTTTTCGAAGATCTATGTTGTTTTTAAAATCAGGCTTCTAACGTAACTAGTCTTATCAATGGTTTTAATTTGTAGGTTATGAGCCTTTTTGCGAAGCGATCCGTAAACTGTTTGGCAACGACGTTAGCACTCAAGACCTCAAGGCCTTGTTTAGGAAGATAGCCTTGAATCCTGATGCTGAAGTGGACTGGAGTGAGGTGAGACTGTGACTTAGATGAGCTTAGATGGCTTATAAGCTTATCATTGCTACATGTGTTACTGTACATACCAGGGCGCCATTTACAGTCGGATCTCTTGAGTTGCTTGACAGACCCATAACACCTTGAAACAATGGCTATTGACTTGATGTTGATCTATTTTGTCGTCGTTAACATACAACTGTAGTCTGAGAGTAGACTTCTCTTCAATTCCATGCGAATTTATTAACTAGCTGATTTTTACAGCCAAATATTATTGTTTAAAGACTTGGCAACTGTAAATCCAGTATTGTCTGACCCCTTCACAAATTACAATACTGTTTATGTCTCACTTAGTTACACTGTATGAATTATGTAGGCTAAAAGCAAGTCCTCACTACAAGAATTTATTAAAATATTGTCAGAAGTTTCAGCAACAAAGAGAAAATGTTGCATCGTAGGACTTCATTTTCCTAGATGTATATATGTGACTTCAACTTAATACAGTACAACAAAGTAAGGCTTATTCCAAATGTTGTGCTACTGCTGTGCTGAACGAAATTCAAGTAGCACGATGTTTGAAACCACTCAGTTTGGTAGGCTGAATTAACTTCGGCACGACTACTTCACACAGCAAGCCTTGCTGTGCCGCACAGCAGTAGTGCAACTTGGCTTCAAACAGTGTACTCTTGCATGCCTAACTTTGAAAAATTCATAGCCTGCTGCATTGGCTGCCATTGCTTTCATTATTTAAAATGGTCTTCAGCAAAGCAAACTTCTTCTGATCTTTGGTGCAACTGAATTAAATTTGACATTGAAACCACTGCTGTTCTATTGTCATGCCACTGCCAGGCCAAATTCATTTAAGTTCGGCACAACAGTAGCACAACGTTTGGAATAGGCCTAAATATGATTACCCGTGTTGGTTGGATTTAAGGCGATTTATCTGTAATCAGTACAGCAAGGACAGCAATGTATTGGCTAAAGTGGTGATTCAGGCATTTGAGACTCCCCACCCCCTTGGAATTTCAAACTGACCTTCCATGGGACAAAACTAGTTTTTCACTGGCTGAGTGAAACAAAATAAATGAGCAAATTTTTTTTTCTCATACACCGCTGGCTATAGGTCATGTGATCTGTGGGACAGGTTGTTGATTCTGTTGCATCTGCAATTGCCGACTTTCCCGTCCACCCACCCGAAGATTTTAACTTTTTACACAATGCCAGTATAATGTACAGTAAGCCTTAAACTTTTTTTCATTATTTCCAGTCTCAAATATATGTAGTGGAATTCTATTTGTATTAGCTTTGATTTTGTAATAAAGGTCAAGCAGCAGCTGTCAGCTTGACATGGCTGCCAGTGGTGTGTGAGAAGTATAGATAATATATATTTTATTTTTTGTGGTGCACATTACCATACTTATTAACTCTAAATACACTATTTGTGACCAAATGGGCTTGCCTGGAATGTAGGACATTTAGCCCCCAAGTCAGTTGGCCCCTAGCCTGTTAGTCCCTAACCAGAAGTCAATCAGCCCTCAAAAAACAAAATTTTCTTTTAAACTCAGTAAATAAGTTTATTGCTGAGCATGTATGTTGATAGAGGAATAGGTTGTATTGTTGAAATGGGCTTTTAAACTACATACAGTGGTCTGCTCAACTATCAAACTTTTCTGGTTGAGAGAGTGACAGAAGAATAATTTACTAATTTTAAAAGAGACATTTTATTTAGGGGCTAATCGACTTTAGGTTGGGGGCTAACAGGCTAGGGGCTTATTGACTTGGGGGCTAAACAACTGGATATGGCTTGCTTCACATCAAGCTACCAAAAGATTACAGACTTTGCATCATGTACATATAACTCTGTCTGTAATCAAACTTGTGATCAGCAAATCAGGCTCCTACTCTACAGAAATCTAATTTTCTTAATTGCTGCAGTCATATGATTAAAGCCAAATTGGATGGATTCCTTTCCCATCAGTTGAAAATCTTTTTTCTTAACTGCGAAACTCAGAAAACCCATGAAAACCAGAAATATCTATGGAATGTTATTGTGTTGCACTCAAGGGAAAAGCAAATTAGGGGTGAGAAAACTAAACCACAAACAGCAGCAGTAATTTGGTTTGCAGTTTGCTCATAAGGGCTAAATTTTATCATGGTTGGTCAGTACATAATTCATCTGTCAAAATCAGATCAAAGTGTTCACAGTTTTTTGACTCACACAGTAACTTTGTCACCAAAAAAACATTACACATGCCTGGTTAATTATAGTTGTGCTGTATCTTTTTCATCACACCTTTTATTATTGTTGTCAAATCTTCTAGCTGTTTGGTATTGGTGGTTCCACTGATGAAGTCCCTGACTTACTGTTAAACGAAGACACATCGTCAGTTATAACCACAAGCAAAAGAAGATCTGTAGGAGAGGTAGGAGGTGAGGACTTGGAAGATTACATATAATGGAGAGGGTGTCCTGGGGTCCATTTTCTTGAAGGTCTCGGAAAGTTTTCGCACCTGGAAAGGCATAGCAAAATCTCAAGCCTTATGGTTACGGAGCTATTTTATTCAGTGCACATATTCTTAATATGAACAGAGGTTCCCTTGTTTCAAGAAGTTTCAGGCTTATGCACCCCTCTCTTTTTACATACATATTAATTAAAAGTGGCTTTGTGGGCCCAAAAGGTTTCCAGGGCTTTCAAGAAACAGGCCCCTGATCTGATGCATTGGATTGAGATGTCTAGGTTCAAACCCTGGCTACAGCTCATTCATTGTGCTCTTTGTCAAGATATGTGACTCTCAAGTTGAATCTCTCTCTTCAGGCCTATAAACTAATGGGTAAAGCTGAATTTGATACCGATAGTAACCTGGTGATAGTCTAGCATCCCATTCGCATCCAGGAGGGAGCAGAAATACATGTAGTGTTAATTTCTTGAATCTGGTTATTGCAACCAGATATACAGTCACTGTAAACATTAGTCTGAAAGCCACTAGGCTTGCATGGAGACTTTACCATAATGTGGTACATACCATATGATGGTTCCCGAAGACAATCGCCTAGGCAAATAGATGTACATGATGATGTTCTGTATTGTGAGTTCTTTTCACTTGTCCAATGGACTAAATCTTAATTACAACAGGGGGAAATTAACTGAATTTTGATTTGTTGAGATGGAGGATGTACATGTAAGTTCTCTGATCAAGAGCGAAATTTCTCACTTATGATTAGCTGAGTGGCAAAATCACTAGCTTCTATTGGCTGAGCACTCTATTTACTTTTACTCTGAATACTTTGAAATTATGCTGTTAAATTTCTTCGTTATCATAATTTGTTCTTTATGGTAACAAGATTAAACCACTGTATTCAAAACATTTGTTTGTAACTACATCACTTCGGACAAATTTCAGACACTTTGCTGAAGCATAGCTAAAGTGAATTTATGCATAAAAAACACGAATTACAGACCAGTAAGTACCTTATAAAAAATGTGTACCAAGAACTTCCTTTCCTTTATTTTCCTTCATACATGATAGGGGACAAGAAAAGACGTGATGTTGTGCAGTGTATTGTTCATGTTCCAAAGTATGACTTCTACATCATTGCCTCACAGAAGGGCATCATTTGTCAGTGGAGTAGCAAGGTACAACTTTGTGCAGATCACAGCACTCTTAATTTTTATTCTTTGACCCTTATTCATTTAATTGCTGCAGCTGTTTTAATATATGAGTGCCAAAACTATGCTTGAGCTAGTTTTCAACATCCAACAGAGCAACAACAGTTGTCTCCTACTGACGTTCTCCCACTGTCTCTGGTAGTTAAATGCTGCTCCTGAAAAACTAAAGACTAATTTTGCAGGGCGAAAAGGTAGTTTAATACATGTATCATTCTAGAGAAAGTTAGAAAAAAGCTGAACAAAGGACTACTTGCACAAAGGTGCTGTTATGATGGAATATGGACATAATTTGACAGTGACCAGTGTTTCTGCCAGACCGCGCCATTGCGGGAATCCCGCATTGCAATCAAAGATGGCCCCCAGAAAAACAAAAAAGGTCCAATTTAGCCCCTTCCTTTTACAAGGCTGCAGGCTTAACACAGGCATAGCATTTTAAAAGCCATCCCAGGGCTTGAAATTATAGCCTGTTCCAGGCTCTCGGTCAGTGGGGACAATCAAAAAAGTGGGCACAGGACAAGCGGGGTCTGCTTAAAAAAAAGAGAGAGAGGGTGTAGGAAGGAGAGCCTGAAAGCATTGTTTTAAAAACCTCATTCCGCCCACTTTTAAGAAGATACCACTTCAAGGATGTCAAACGTCAAAATGTCAGTGTCTTCGGTGTTGAGTTACTCTCGCATGTATCACCACTTCACAGCATGTTTTAATCTTCTTGCGATCGTTATTTATGTCTTCCTTGTCGACTAAAATCTTTTCGAATGTTGAAGCTCATCCCTTGAAATGCTGTAGATTTTGCAAGAAAAATGTGACTTGCCAAGGAACGAAAGTTCCTAGAGTTTCGCTTTTTAACATCATTCGAAACAAGGAATTGCTGGCTTACAGTGGCAATGAGTATTTTGTGATGGCCGATGTTGTGGATTCCCCGGGGTACAAGCTTGTGCAAAACGAAAAGCTTTCTGATGTTAGCTCAGGTCTGACTTGTGTGAGGACTTTGGCCAGAATTTACAGTACTTTCAAGAAAGTTACCGCACTAGCAAACGTGGACACCGCTAGAGCGAAGCAAATTTCACCCAACTCCCCAACTGGAATTTCACCAGCAGCAAAAAGAACTTGAGAACATTTGTCTACCAGTTCAGTGTCTTCGAGAAGTCCTCAACGCTCGCTAGCCTTAAGTGATGTCAACAGGGAAAATGTAAAATGGGGTTGACTAGCCTACACGACTTCTACGGTTCCTGACATTTGTACATTTGCCGTTCTCTGTTTGGTCACTGGACCTTTTTGTTGCTTCACTTGTGTTTATGAGGGGCATTTCATCTTGTGTTATAAGGAGGAACTTACAGTAGAGTTGAGCCATTAGACCGTGCTATGGCAAATTTTTAGAGGGCATAGGTCTACATGAATTCCTCTGTTATCTCCATGTCGCTTCGTAGAGTTTTTCACCACTGTAATTTGCCATGTGTTTATGTATTGTTTAGGCTCATTTCTATTGCAAGATATGCTTTTAAGTTTCCACGTATTTGCTTTCGAGGGACAAAATGTGAAATTTACTGTGAACATGCTTGTTTACTTGCATTCGAATTCTGTATTGCGATGGCGGGCCCAGCTGTGATTAGAACTGTTTGCAAGTACAGTAGGTTGATTCTTATCACGGATAACATACATGTATTTGCCTTCATACATTTTTCTTCGGAGATGCCGTAGCTTTACTTTGAGAAAGCTATATGTTTGTCTAGAGACATTCTTATGTTTCTTGCAGCTATCTGATGGAGCTTATGTTTCTCTTGCTCAATGTATAGGTTTATTCCTCCTTTGGTCGTTCTGGTACCACATGATTCAAATGTAGCTGTTTACGCACAAGTCTGTTGACTGTTTTACGTGTTGTATATGCCATTGTTCGGCTTAGTTCAGGCAATTTTGCAATTCTGCAACTTTGCTCCATTCTGAGCGCTTTTACGTTTGGGTAATCCTTAACACAACTCTCCACAATCTGAGTAAATTGAGAGTCCTCAAAATCATGCATGCATAATGCACTCGCCATGCTCAACGTCACTTGGCATTAGACAAAAAGACAAGGTGCTGACAAGGTGTTGATATAAAGTGTCAAAATTAACCAATCAGAGGGTATACTGTAGCTGGTATACCGGAAGTTTTTAAAACAATGCTTAAAGGCTCTCCTTCTCGCAACCTCTCCTTTTTTTACCAGACCCGACTCATCCTGCGCCTGCTTTTTCGATGGTCCCCACTGACCGAGAGCCTGGAACAGGCTATTGAAATTGCTATTGAAATCTACACACAAACAAATTATTTCTGCACAAATTTTTCCTGTTTTTCTTGGGGTTATGGACTGAACAATGCTTAATCCTATAAAACTTATAACTTATTACCTTACAAAATTATAAGGTTTATTGGACGTTTAAGTCTTGTTCAGTCCGTTGCCCCAAGACAAATACGTGCAGAAATAATTTGTTTGCATGTTTATTTGCTTGCTTTTGGGGTCATTCATGCATGCGAATGGCTGTTGAGAAACCCGACATTCCCATCTTCAGTTATGGATTTCAAGGAATATTGCCAATGTGTTTGGTGAGCTAGCCGTTCACACTGAAAGTAAAATGATAATTTTTACCAGTGGACCCCTGCTAAATCGCTCGGAAGCGCATCCAAGTCAACATCGTCTATTTTCCCACGAGAATTACTGACTTTACTGTGAAACTGATATGGCGTCTATATCTTTTTGATGAGGTGTGAGTGACATTTGATGACAGGTTGTGTCAGTATTAAACCAATGGGAATTTTCTGTTGCTGGAAGAATGGGTAACTTTGAACAAATTTAACATAAGCATGGCGGACAGTCGTATTTTTTAGCGCCTCTCCCCATTCTTCCTCACCATTATGACACTCACTCCAGACCTTTCGAATATTGACCATCACCCACGGTCGCAAAAAATACGACTGTTTTGCATAAACACATATTATGTCCTTCTAGAAAACCATATTGAAAGATCTTTGCTTCTAAAACATTCAACATGAGAAAAGAAGTCAATGCATCCTTTTGCTTTGCTGTATTGATTCTCTCACATCTGAAAACTTCTAAATAGCTGATCATGCTCGAAATCGCCCTATATAGTGTATTGCAAACCCTTGATCTTTGACTAGGTCATGTATGCATATGGATTGCTCTCTTGTACTGCACAGATCCTTCATGCTAGTATGTGGCAACCAAAAATTTGCATTTGGCGACTTTTTTTTTACCAATTGTTATTTATTGCCCCCTTTCTTAAAATAATGGCCCCTAAAAACGGTCTTCAGGGGCCACTTTGACCCTCAACTTAAATTTTCTGGCTGAAACACTGAGTGATAAAGGTACATGTACTGTACCTTTGATCCAGGATGGGGGGACCAACATTTTACATAACATGAAAGTGAGAGGGATGCTCACTGGAAAAAAATTTTCAGAAAATACCAAAATAAGTACATGGACAGCTTTAGAAGTTCAAGATAAAATGCCTTACTGTAAACCTCTACATGTACAGGCTAGGGTATGACAGACATTCCAGTAAGTGCCATGTCAGTAGGAATCTCCTTCTGATCAATGCCTCTGATGCACTGGTACTGGTACTTTCATTGTGCAACAAAAAGATTTCAAATCCTGGTATAACCAATCCAAAGTACATATATGTACAATATATGTAATCGTGACTTTTGCTACATGTGTATTTGGCTACTGTACATGTATGTTGATCTTTGCATATTTGGTAGTTGGTTAATTGTTGATGTTCTATTTTACAGTTTCGACTCCAGTCCTGCATTGACTTGAATGTGAGTTAATCACTAAGTAATTCTTTTACTAATTGACTCATAACTACCTACATATACATCTATAGCTTATTTTACATGGCAGTATTTTAATGCAAAACAATCACAGATGAGATGGAGACACTTGCATAATTATATACTGTAGGATGCTGCTAATCTGATAGCAACTGTCTTATTTCTCATCCACTTACAACCCAAGACCTTTGATATATTATTTTGTAGAGTAAATTCAAAAATGATATCACAATTCATGCCACCAGCATTGAAGCTAGCATGTCAGTGTATGTGCAATAGCTGATAGTTTTTTGTTGTAGAAAAAAATCAAATTACAACTGAAAGGTAAACGGCTCTGGTCAAATCAAGTGTTTACTAACTGTGAGGTAAAAATGTTTTTTAACCATGCAGCTTGATGCAACATACATAGTGTTTTTGAACTACTGTAGTGAGAGAGGTCCAATATGGGGAATTATTGTTTGAGCTGTTTTGTATTTTATTTTTTACAAGTTTATGGACCGAGTCACAAGCAGGGCTCATTTACAGTGTACTTGCAAAAAATAAATAACAAGGCCAATCTTCCTCAATATGGACTAAACAAGCTAGTCAAAAAAATTCTAATAATGGCTCGGTGAAAAATTGACCGATAAATTTATGCATAGCTTGGTCAGTTTTTGGTAAACACTTGTGCTAAATTAAGAATTCGCATTCATTTTTCAAGGTCACTTCAATAAAAATGTACATGTTGCTCAAGGTATCCACCAAACTCAAAGGAAAAAAGGCGAACTCTTTCTCTTTTGTGCAATGTTTGCATGGAAAAAGCAATTTGCAGTCTGTACTGCGAGGTTCAGACTGCTCAGGGAACCAGTCAGAATACTTCTTTTCATTCTGGACCAGTTTTGCATGTCATAAACTGTGCTTTACAAAATTCTTGCTCCATTTTAACTTCATTTGGCATTAGTTACCTAGGTTTATTAGAATATAAAACCCACATAATCCAGCCTTCTAACTTCTATCCTCACCTGTGTGGTATACAATTTGCATTGTGAATGCTGAATAGAATTGTTTCCTTGTGCAGTGAATTATTTTAATGTTCTCTTTTTTCCCTTCTGTCAGGAGTCATCATGGGTTACAGGCTGTGGCTTTTTGCCAAGTCTTAGGAGGATAGCGGTAGGTCACTTCCAGAAGCTGTCAAAGAACTTTGTGGTCATTTATTGTAACTGCACATGCTACATGTGCATTACATGAAAATTGAACTCTAGGATAAAGACTTGTTTGCATAGTTGTTAATTCTCTTATTGATTTCCAACTGATGTGTTAACCATGAATTACATTGTTATGCACCATACCATTGCCACTTTTGATTTAATTTTGACATCTTTTTGACAACGTCTTACTGGCCTCTACATGTATTTGCAGCAGCCAACCAAAACTTGGAAACTGTCATGGGACGAGATGTTAAATTTTGAAATTCATCATTCACTCTCATGGAAATTTTAAAAGTTTCAACCTGTGGATGCTCAAAACCAGTGATGAGTTTTTGCAGTTTGATTGGCCATTTGAAACGGAAGCCATTAGAAGTTGTCAAAAATATGTCAAAAAGTTGTCAAAAACTAATCATTACAAAACTTTCCTGGGTGGCAACAGTAGGGTGTGTAGTGCTGTATGGTAAAGTTAAAGTCTGCATACAAGCCAAGAGGCCCATCAGGCCGGCACTTGTGTCCAGTTTCTGTATAGTATGAAGTGACTAAGAGTATTTCTACTCCCCTTAGATGGCAAGCTAGTCCATTGCAAGGTTACCTCCAGCATTGAATTTGCCGGTACCTATTTGTACACTTGGGTGGGGAGAGGCACTGTAACCATGGTTAAATAAAGTTTTGTTGCTTTTTGTAATGAATACTCTAAAATTTACGTTACATGCTTATGGCGTTTCGTTGCAGGCAAAAACAAACCTAAAAAAAAAAGAAGTAACTTACTTGGAGAAATAAACAGTGAGATTAAAAATATGTGGTCGAATAAATAAAATTTTACTTTAAAAAAAATAATGGTCCACGAGAATAAAAAATGTGGTTTTAGGTTTAAGAATTGACGAAAAAATATGGACAACGCAAAAGTGCAGTGAAGCGGACAGATTAACACAGAAAAAAAAAAACTAGTCAAGAGGAAGCTCTCCTTAGGAAGGCTGATAGAAAGTTCTGAAGAACAGTTCAATTCAGCGTCTTGTGATACCTCAGTCTTTTTGGTCCGTCAATCAGAAGAATACCAATGAACACTGTCAATGTTGTTGTCGTTGTCGCAAAGTAGCCTAAGTACCACTTCCTCTGATGCCATGTAAGGAGATACCCTCTTACATCCAGTTGAGGTGCTAATCAGTTTCTGCTTCCTCTTGACTAGTTTTTTTTATTTTCTCGATGTTAACTTTTCCGCTCCACAGCACTTTTGCTTTGACCATATTTTTTCATCAATGTTTAAACCTAAAACCACATTTTTTATTATCGTGGACCATTTCTTTTTTTTTTTAAGTAAAATTTTATTTATTTGGCCACATATTTTTAATTTCACTGTTTATTTCTCCAAGTACCAAGTAAGTCACTTCTTTTTTTTAGGTTTATTTTTGTCCGCAATGAAACGCCATACATGCCTCTTGATATCATTGACATTAATTTTATAACTTTCTTGAACTACGACAACCGTGGTAAGACTGAAGATAATGTTTCAAGAAAACATAACATGTTGATGTACAAAATGTAGCTTAATGTTGTAAAATAGATTTACTGGTATAAATAATATATTTTTGTTTTGTTTGGTGACATCAGGTTACATCTGAAAGAGCATTGTCTTTATGGGACTACAGAGCAAAGAGAAAGCAATTGGTTAGTGTTTGAAGCAATTTAATGAAATTTTGATTCTAAAATAAATGTGTGCACTTCTGACTGAATTACCTTCAGGATTCCCTAAACAATACTTCCCCTTTCCCCTAGCTTGTGGGGGCTAACAGATTTTATCTTTCACTAAACTGACAGCCAAGTAGAAAATTTGGACGTGCAGGTGAAGTAAGGCTGGTGCCACTACACAATGACTTGGGACAACCTCAAGGAAAAATGTGTTTTTTGTATCGTGTCTTTCTTTGCAAAAACAAACTATACACTATCACTATGCTTGTGCAGTGTTGTCTAGGCTTAACCACTTCTTTAGAAACACCACTGATTGCTAAGGTGGCTACTTAGGCAAAACAATAAACCAGAACCTAAAACTGATGTTTTTTTTTTCTTTCTATATTGATACTTTTAGATACTTTTACTGAGATAATTTTTTTTTTTAACTAAACAAAGCTTACTATTTTTTTTTTTACCTATAAAGACCATTTATCAAATCAAGCCAATGGAAAACTCCCCTCAGTGTATGATCTATATTCCATGGAAGACTGAATCAATGAATGAAGACACAATTCTTTTTGGAGATGACCAAGGTACTGTAGGTTTTAAGCTGTTTTTACAAAAAACCGTGTGACCTTCATGAAGAGACAAGAAGTTATTTTGACATACATGTATATATTTTTGTCCTTTATTTAATTTTGTCCTGGATTTTCTTCCCCAAAAATCTAGCTTTACTGCCACTGTACCTTTTTGAAGTTTAGCAATAGCTGTTGTATTTCAGTAGAGCCTTCAATAAATCATATTTAACATATTCTTCTTCTTGAGAAGACTTGCAACCAAGGTGAACACAGTACAGAATGACCCTGTCAGTTTGTTATTTTTTTTTGTCAACTGCTGAGAACTGAAATAACAGTCATATTTGCTTTTTTGTGCTATCCAAACTGGTCAAAAAATTTGTCTATTGGCTGTTGTGTGATGCATGTGTACTTGACAACAACATCAAGTTTTTTGGTATTTTCATTTACAGATGGTATTACTTCATATAATAAAATAAGTAATAATATAATGGCATGGAAATAACAGAAAATTCTCAGCAATAAATGTAATTTTATTAATATAAGAGCTTTTAATTCTGCAAATTTAAGATTCAACTTTGTTAAATGAGAAAAAGTTCTTTTAGTTTAGCTTTGTCTGGTACATGTATTTGTTTTGTTTGTGAATTATTCTTTGATACCTTACTTTACTATGTACTTGCATTCTTCCTAAACAAGGGTATGTAAACATGATGACTGTGTCTTCTAAGGACCTTCATATGAAGAACTCAACTGCATCTGGTAAAACAGATTCTCAGATTGTGACTATTGATCCAAGCAAACTAACCTAGTAAGTATAAACACCTATATTAATTGGTTTTATTGTATCTTTGTAAAGCCTTACAGTAATTTTTATCACTATCGTACATGTATTTGCAAAGCAGTTCAACACCCTGGAGTGGAAAGAAGAAAATTAAATACATGTGTTATGTTAATAATGTAATAATAATTATTAATCAGTGATCAATTATTGATCAGTAATCAGTGTGCAAAGAAAGTATGCAATCTGCAATATGCTGTTAAGCACACTTGATTGCTACATTGTCAGCATGTGTACAGTGTAGGTTACTCATTTGGTGTTAGGGGGCTAGCTGTGGCTTCATTAACTGATTTATATACCTTTCTCTTTCTTCATAGTGCAATACAAGGAAGAAAATTCCACGATGACTGGGTGATCAAGGTTTGGTATACGTCTTCTGTGTTTAATGTAAATTCAACTGTAGGAAACCTTAAGTACAATATTAATAACACCACTGAGGAGACTAATCATCCTAAAATCAAACCTGTATATTTTGTGGACAAGTGGTGCATATGTGAAAAGCCACACATTGGGAGCAGGGCCTAATTATTGTGAGTTTGACCATCAGTTCTTGTAAAAGGTGTATTAGTGATATGCATATATTTATGAATGTGTCATCTGAACTGTAGGTTTACCTACCCAACTAATGAAAACCATGCAGAATCTTGTCCCAAAGTGACAAATGATGCATCAGGAGTATGTACATGTAATTATGACAGGCCTGTATCATGTTTGGTGACAAGAACAAAATGACACGTAGGAACGGAAAAGTCACATACTCATGAACCTTGTACATATAGCTGAAAATGTACACTTTTTTGTGCAAAGTGTAGAGACTCCTCTCCACTTTGGTTGCTCTGACATCCCTTAGATGGCTTGTGGCCTTGAATTGTTTTCCTCAAAGAATTAATGAACAAAGCTTGCTGGGCTCTAAATATATTGTCAGTTATGACCCAGCGTGGTCATCATCATCATCATCAGTCCTAGCTCTCCTCTGGGAGACCCAGCATGATACTTATCTACATTTGTTCTTATTGCTGTCACCTGTGTGTAGCAGTACATGTATATGAGTGAGAGTTCCCAAATTACAAAAAAAAATGAGAGCTTAAAATAATCCTTCTCATTACTTTATTTTAGCTTAAGTATTTTCCTCAACTGGAGATGTTTGGATCTTGTTCGCCAAGCAGCAGTTGTTCTTTTATCTTGGGAAGCATTGAAAGAGTTTTGGATAACAGGTGAAATACTATGCACTACCAGTGTTGTCTGTGTGTGTTATTGGCTTGCCAGTATAAGTAAAGTCCATATGAGATTTCTGTACTTCTCTTGATTTTCAGCCCTGTCAGAGAGCTTGCTGTTCCAAAGGGAGTCAACTGCTTTGATTACTGTACAAAAGCTAATGTCATAATTACAGCTGGTGAATATACAGTTTTATATTCATTGATTTTAAAATACCTGTTATTAATCCCAGGCTATGGGAGGCAGGGCATATTCAATGAGAGCCATTTTGTAGGTCCATTACAATCATACATTTCTATCTACTCGCCATTTTGTGCCACATCTGTAACAGTTGTGTGTTATTTCAGACCCACAGGTTAGCCCTTTCAATACTCTGAATTTATCACGGCTTTCTTCAAGTTTGAAACTTTTGAGGTCTTAAAGATCAGTTTAAGCAAACTTTACATACATTTATGGTCTATAAGGACATCATCACACATGCACACCTTCTAGCTCTGATGGAGATCTTTGTGGTACATTCTAGACTTGTTGTATCTTTTGGTACTGTTTAAGGTGTCCATTTCAACTTTTCTCTGCTGCTACATACAGACATCATATCTGGTGTTATGTTGTTCTAGCCCTACTTGTAGTTGTCTAAAGGGTGATTTGTATTATCCATTAGATAGTGATTTATCCACTGTATAGTATTTTACATGTTTGAACAACTGTGTCCTGAGTTTTGGGGAGGGGGATTCCCACACAAGAGACAGAGATGTTGCAACAGAATTTTGAAAAAAAAACAAACAAACATTCTAAAATGTAACAGAAATTCATAACTGAAGTTCATCTTTATGCCTAAGAGATAATAGAGAAGATTGATGGTGATACACTGTAAGTGATGCTGGCACAGCTACAAGCCATGACCTTACCGAAATTACGGAAAAAAGCACCACACATACATTTACTTTTACATGTAGGTGTCACATACATGTACTCTATAGGACAGGTTACATATAGTTGCTTTGACCAGTGGATGGATGTAAGATCCAACTTGGCTTGAAATGCTCAGACTCAAGGATTGTTGTTTGCATGTACCAGGGGCAGACAAGGTTATCAGAGTGTGGCATCCACTCATATTCACAAGGCCAACAGGTAAACTGAAAATAATGTATAGATTTAGGCCAGTCTAAAAGCGTAGCTCCTGGGCCGGGTTGTTCAGAGCTCAATTAAGCTAACCCAGGAAAAGGTAGAATTTTGATTTCATGTAACTTTGGGGTGAGGTTTTCTCTCTATATATATTGTTTGGCCTTCTGTTTTGAGTTTAATAATCACCATATACACAAAACAAAGCAGCAAAAAACATTTGTATAGAAGAAAAAGTTGTAATTCGGTTAACTTTTAATCCTGGGTTAGTGTTAACCAGCTTCCAAACAATCCTGCCCTGTTTTCAACAAGTTAACCTGACATGAGCCCACGATCCAATCGAAAACCAGCACTTGGTCAGCGGTCAACTTAAAAAAATACGTGACCTGTAAACTTGAGCCCACGATATGGTCATGTGATACTGGTCAACAGATACCTTGTTTTGACAGGAGTCAATTGATCATAACATGGATGTCCGATGTCAAAGAAGTTCACGGTAAACCAAGGCTGCATGTCTCTGTCAACCTATTATTTGGAGTATGGCCGCCACGTCGTCGCCATCGCCGTCGTGCGTACACGCCCATGAGCAATACCGCTAGCCATGATAACCATGAGAAAATCAACTCATTGTTTTCCTTTTCTTTCCTATATGAGTATGGGGCTCCGCTTGGGGACCCTTCGAGCCGCCAGAGCTCCGCTATAATTTCTTTTGCCCAGAATGTAATGATCGTAATGTACATTTCCAAAATATCAATTCCCACCCCAATCTAATGTAGGTCATGAAATATTCCAAGGTGAAGGGGGTTTCAAAAGCCAAAGTTTTAAGGCAAAATACATGTATGAAGCTAAACTGGGAGATGCAATTCAAAAACCTTTTGTGGGCAGGTCATAGATATTTTCTGGAACAAAACAATGTTTTGTTCTGAGAATATTGTGGTGTATCATTTGACGCTGCCGTGTGCAAATTGGTTTTCTTTGCACCCTGCGCTGTACCCTCAATCTGATGATTTCTCTGTTCACATCCCCCTCAACCCCCGCTCTGGCCTTTTGTCAGCCTCATGTTCAGGACAGAAAATATAGAGTAGTTGATGGAACACTCTTAGGAACTAATAGCTACAGCCTACTTGATCTATGGATGTCTTCTTCCTCAACGTATTTCTAATAAGGCCATTGAATGGATGTTCACTTGCAGGAAAGCTTCTTGGCCATCTGTTCACCATTGTTGATGTCGCAGTTAATGAAAAGGATCAGCAACTCATCAGCTTATCAACAGCACGAGTGAGGAATGTTATTAGTATTCATCACAAATGCAAGTTGTAAAATGCAGTTAATGCAAGGTTTTCAAAATAAGCCAGTGCCCGGCGCAAGTCACCGGTTATTTCAAGCATTTTGGTCCGTTACTTTTTGTCACAAAGTTTATTAATGCACCAGTTTGTTTCACCAACTTAATCATGATCTGACCTTTCTGAGGAAATAAATGAACAGGTGAAAAGAGATTTCCTCCTACTATGTTATTTCAATTTAAAATGCCTGTAAATGGTGCACTTTTTCTGGGGTTCCATGACTTGAACTTGCTTTGCTTTCTTCAGTGTATACTATCCAGTTGTCCTGTTCCATTTTTCCATTTTTTTAGCCCTCAGACTTGCATGAAAATCATTCCCCTCCCACTAATGTACAAGGCGTCTTTAGTTTCTTTTCACTAGCCACACATACATGTACATCAATGACAGTATTAGTTCACTTATTGGTGTCATTTCTTCCCTTTAACTCAGGTGTTTAGGGTGTGGGACATCCAGACTTTGTCATGTCTACAGGTATGCTGGTTTGAAAAATCGTTACAATATTTTTTGATTTTAAATTATTTTACATGTATGTATATGTTTTTATCAAGTTTTAATGCATCAAAGCAGGAATTGTCACTCTGAGATACACGAAATATATTTGGCAAAAGAAAATGAATGATTTGTGGTTGACATGTGCAGTTATTTGATAGGGTATTGCTGTAAAATTTATTTTTAGGTATTTACAGACAATGAAGTAAGGCCAGGAGAAAAACGCATCTCTTGCATGCTTTTTGATGCTAAGCATGACAGACTCATTACAGGTATGAAAACACCCACCCTANCCCCCCCCCCCTACCCACAATGGATACCACCAGACTTGCTGCTGAATTGTCTACCCCGGTAAAATAAAATAAAGTTACTTACCTCAAGCTCTGTAAGGCTGGGAGTTAAATTACAGACAGTCGTTCAGTCAGTCATTTGATCAGTCAGACAATCATTCAATCAGTACTATTTATCTGAAGGTCAAGTGCTCAACAGTAGCTGATCAGCAGTGGTACAATGGTTGAATATTCACTCCTAGAAGGGTTGATACGTGCTTTTCTTTACTTGAAATGGGTTCTTTTCTGCACCTGATGATCCTAGTGCATGATTAGAAGGTCTGCCCATCTCCCAAAATGGTGGTATAACAAATCATTGTTCCTTCCTCCCAATCTGCAGAATGGTGTTCACACAAGTGTTTTGGTGTCATTATTGAATCTCATTTCTTTAAAATTATGCATTTGTAGGTTGTAGTGTGATTGACACCTGGCCACTCACAAGAGCCATCCAGGACTCCCTTCAGGTGCCACATACTCATGACAGGCCCATCTGCCAGGTATGATTTAAATTCTGTGTTTTTCTTTTTCTCTCACACTACACCCATGCTTGAACATTTTGCAAGAGGCAGATTCTAATGAAGTCTTAATCCTTTTTTTTTTCCAGCTGCTGTATAATCCCCAGATGAACCAGGTCATAAGTGGTTGTACTGAAGGAATTCTCAAGGTAGAGTATATGATCATTATCATTATTAACAAAATTCACTTGTCACTGCTAAGGTCAATTAACATGATGAACTGCACAAGCAGTGTAGGAAAATAGCATGTTTGTACATTCACTGATTCCTGACAGAGCTGTGCCAATGGTTTTGTTGAAGTGGCACAACTTATCTTCACTTGCAAACTCTTGGAATTCTTTCAGATTTTTCAATGAGTTTGTAAGCACTTTGGTATGCACCAAAAATTACCGAAACGTGCCTCATCCACTTGAGAACTCACATACAAACTGAAATTCTCTTTTGTTTTGTTTTTTCGCAATGTGAAAGGGTACCCTCCTACACAGACCCTCTTTGACCTCATCACGCACGTTTTTGGGTGAGGAGGGTTTGCCTGACAAGCCCAAAAAATGTCTATGTATGGGGCTAGTAAAAAGTAGAAGACCTAGCAGGTTTTCCGCCACTACAGCTGTAGGTCTTACAGAGTTGGTCTTGTGGTTCCCTAGGCACGCAGTTGTACGACACAAAAGCATTGCCATGTTTGTAACTGTTTGTCTGGCTAAACTGAGACAGGAGAAAAAAAAAAGAGAAAAAAAAAACACTAAGCACCAGGGCTGCACAATCCGTTTTGTAGTCCTCGTTATTTAACAAGATCTTAACAAATTTTTGTGATGCAACTATAAAAAGTCTTTTTTATTTTGTCTTTTCATTATTGTGTAGGTTTGGGAAATGGAGACAGGTCAGTTTGTATACCAGGTAACTGATGCCCATGGCCCATCCACTGAGATCACAGCCATGACAGTTGACAGCTCTGGCTACAGGCTCGCCACTGGAGCATACAATGGTTAGTAACATTACTCCGAACAAAGTACTACAGTCAAGGATTTCTTCAAATTTGATCAGTTTTACTTTTTATTTTTATTTTTTATGAAAGAAAACCTACAAATTTTACATTGGCACACACTACCAGTGCTCGTCCCTACGTTTGTAAAATCTCATTACATGGTTACAGCTTAGTTTAAAGGCAACATGGTAGTTACGAATTGCAATGGATTAACAAGTATGATTTTCGCCAAACCACTGGGCGTTTTTTATTTATTTGTGGCAGGTGTTGACAAGAGACCCCTCTCTCATTAGAAAACACGACATTGTTACATACATGTAATTATACTGTTACTGTACAGATTTACCTTACATTATGTATATTGCATTACTAACTGAGATTAGATACATGAATAATACATAATTATTAGATCATGTACAAACAGTCAACATCCCTTTAGACATTCGCAAGAAAGACTCCATTGGCTCCTTTAAATCTTCTGTTAGGAAATATTTTTTGTCCAAAAACTCTTAGCTTAGTTTTTAGTTGCGCATATCTAGTTTTAGATTTTTTAAATTTTTAACTTTTATCATATCTTTAAATTTTAGCTGTATTCTATTTTGTAATTTTTATTATCTTATAAGTGTAAATAGTTTTTAATTTTTAACTTAGGATAGAAGGCCACTGGTTCGTCAGTTTTTTACTGTTATGTGTTACCCTCTATAAATAAAGTTGTTACTTACTTACTTACTTACTTACTAACTGTTAGCAAGAAGCTTCTTGGCGTTTTCAAGCTCAATGAGTCACTGCTCAAGTGCATGAAAGTAGACAGGCCTGAAGTAAGCTTGATTTTTGAATAATCATTGGCCAGGAAACGTGGTCAATGACTGTGTATTGTTTGTTTTTCAATGAGTATAACTAGACCTGTAGATTTTCATACAAGCAACACCTTTTTTTGGAATTAGGTTCTATAAAAGTGTGGGATTTCGGCAGTGGGCAGCTGTATAAGAAGTATCCAGATGAACAGACCAAGAAGCGTCATGAAGACACTGTAACCGGGCTGGCTTATCACACAATCTACAACAAGAGGTGCTTGCTGGCCTCCTCATGGGGGAACAAGATACGAATCATGGAGGTTAGAGAACGTTTTAGACAAGAACAATGGACCCGTTGTAATAAAATCCATAAATTGACAAGCACTGGGTCGTATTTTGCTTAAAAGGCTTTTTTGAGGGTACCCCCGATATTTCAGTAGGGGAAGGATGAAAGATATGTTTGAGAAGTGTACATACAATGTAACTGGAAAGTGTCAATGAACATGTTGTTTTAAGCAACATTTAAATATCCGTTGAGTAACACCTTGCATTTCTCATAACTAACGGAGTGGATATCCTTTGCTGCTGCTACAGTTACTCTTGTTTTTGCTTCTGAGTTAATGTTAAAAATTTGATTTTCACCTGCTTTTTCCACAGGACCCGGCTGAAGTAGCAACTCTTATTGAACTGAAGGTTTTGAGCGATCTCTTTGTCCCACCAGAACCCTCGCATAATGACAAAGGTAATACTCTATACACGCGCGTAGGAGACACTTTTCGCTTCATGTCTTTTGGTCATCTACATTTACCTCCTATTTCCTCTATTATGCATTTAGACAAGTCTTTCTCGCCATGAGGAAGCCCAAAATGAGCGAACCGAAATCATACACTTTGTCTTGCCATTGTTTTGTTGTTAACGAGAGCATTGATCATAATCTTGAACTCTTAGTGTAAGTGGTCTGAACTCTTTGGCTCCTGGAGAACTCTCTGGCCGCATTTAGTGGCCTAAAAGGAGCAGCCCGCATGTTTACGTGAAATATTGCTTCTGTTTGATGTTTGCAGATGAACAAGGACCTTTTATTTCAAGAGCTCCGCTACCCACCATTGGAGAAACCCAGGAGGTCAAATCAAGCAATGAAGTAAGCCTTAATTCGTTAGTAATGTAGCTTTCTTTTGCCAATAACAATTGTTCCTCTCGCTCAGTGTAACATTAAACCTTGCAGTGCATATTTTGAGACTGGTTTTGACTCATTGAAGGTGACACGTTTTAAGAAGCAGGCCGGCGGCAGTGTCATATTAACAATTCAAATCATGGATTTACCGGTCACTTAGCTAAACATTTGGCTGTCATCGTTGATTTAGTTGTCTTTGTGCTTCGTTTCAAAGTCTCAACTGTTTTCTGGTACTAATTTCAGGAACATGTCCTTTCGCTCTGTGAAGTGACTTGTCTGGAACACGTGTCGCCTTTGCTCTTCGCTGGTACAACTAGTGGAGCAGTGATCATGTGGAATTTGGAGACAGAGAAAATCGTCTTAAGGTTAGCCAGTTCTTCGGTTGACTTTGACAACTACTGCAAACTGAAAGTCCCTTCTGCCTAAAGCCTCAAATACGCTCCATAGCCTCAGTGATGTTACTTGTTAAATATTGTCCGAAACAGCAAAACGACCAACTAATAGCCTTACCTAGAAAGTGACCGCTTTCCAATTGTACAGAATAATCAACATCAGTAGGAAATTCCCATTGGACATTTTTTTAGGTTAAAAGGAGTACCTTCAGATGTATTTTCTTCTCTCTTTGATTGGAATAACGCTGTATCATTTGCGTCGTCTTGCGGGAGAAACTCAACTCTGACAAATGGGGCGTCCTGTTCCATTTTCAAACATTTCCATGTTTGTGGAAGAATAGTACTGTTCTGTTTGGTGGAAGTCTTTAACGGTGATATCCACCCAATTACAAAGCATATGCATTGTTCCATGTTTGAGCCTCAGGTATATGCAGTCAGTTCCGTGCAGCACTTTCGATTTTGAGTGAACATGAATACAAACAAAGCATCGTTGCTCACTTATAGGTCTTTACATTTTCATTTTATTTAGACTCTTTCTAGTTTTTTTCGATGAGGTCGCTGCTTTCTGTAGTACTTCCTTAGTATCGGTTTATCAACTCTTCAAGAGTCTTCCTGTCCACTTTGTCTGCAGGTGTGAACCGCCAAGATCTAGAAGTGCAAACAGTAGCAAGCACAGGCGCAATCACCGAGATGATCAGCTGGTGTACCGATGCCTCTACCTTGTTCATCGTGTCAGGAAACCAGTCATATATGGCAAAGGGTATAATTTTTTTTTTATTGCAATAACATTACATTACATACAAAAATTACCTGCTCTTCTTACAATGTTAACGTAACTTACAGTTTAACGATACTAACAGAACTTACAAGAGGGAAGATATTTGTTTACAAACATTGTTTTTGTCATTTAAATGTTCAAAACATTAAACTATTTAATTCTTTGTTTCACCAACCAATAGTTCTCTGGTTGGCATATTAATAACAATAGGTGACGTCACTGATATCTTTGCTATACTAACAGTATTTACAATTTATTAATGTCTCACATTACTTTCATGTAGGGCGTTAGCTACTATAGGAGGCTTTCTCGCATATTAATTTGTGACTTAGATTTATGTTTCCCAATTTTAATTTTGTTTGTCAAAATCGCTAAGAAGGCATCGGAATAAAACGGGTTGTCATATTCGAATCTTAATAAATTGGTTTGATTGAAATGGGAGAATTTTTCGGTAATGTCAAAGCCACCGGTGTAACTAACGTTAGAATTTGGGTATGTAAATTGTTATAAAATCTTCTGTAGTTGGCTGTAAGAAGAAAGCTATTAGACCTAATTGGGTACTCATTCCTGATATGTAAACGAAAGTCGACACTTTAAAATACAACCTCCCTAAACACAAATAAATGAAAAAGTGCCAGCATGAATTTATCGGGTATAATTAATCACTGTAGACTATATGTACGTTATAGATTTTAGACATTGTAATAATGTTTGTGCTTTAGAGCTTGGCCAAACAGGGAAATATTTCTGTTGTACCAGAGAAAAATATAACATGCCAAGAGAGGGGCCTACTTTCGCTTTGAACTTAAAAAAAAAGACCGACTTGGG